GCAACAACCCAATCAGAGTGTTCCATTGCATCCTTAACTGTCTTTGGTTCGATTTTCGAAATGAAAACATTGAACATACAATATTCTTGATGAGTATTCAGTACCTCATTCTTTGCATGAAGTTGAGCTCTTGTTAAAACTCCATCTTGTGGATTACCAATAACTTGTTCTTTCAGATGATCTTTTGTCCATTTTTCGAGTGGTGGATGTGCTGGATCAAAATCCAAATGTGCATCTTCGTATAAATCTTCATTTTCTGAACCTGCAATAGAAGGATTATCATTTAATTCATGAAATTCATCATTTTGATGAAGACTTATTGTATAATTGTCATTATGATTCTATTGCTCCCCCTCAACATCTTCATTCATTCTCCTATTCTCCCTGCCCGAAAGAATGCTCCCCCTCAATCAGAGTATTCGAATACAAGTGCTCCCCCTCCACTGGATTACTAGGCATACTTTCACCAATTCCTTGAGAATTCGATGTTGAATTACTATCAACAATAATTTGAGTGGGTTCCGAGTCATCAAAATGCTTCGAAGATTCAGGTTGGTGATTATCATTCACATGATCTTCAACATTCACATCCCTATCAGGAACACCAGAAATTAAATCATAATCAAAATCAGATGAACTCACAATTTCAGACTCATCATTGAATTCATTAATAATCAACTTTTGTTCGAAAAGTTTGTCAAATTGTTTGACATAATAGTCATCAAAAGTAAGATTGAATGTCTCTTCGAGTTTTCGTGCGCGCTTATTTAATAATCTGTATGCAACCGAATTGTTTGAATATCCCAAAAATATTCCTTCGTTAGCCTTAGCTTGAAATTTCGAAAGATTATCCTTGAGATTCATGATAAAGCACCTACAACCAAACACATGAAAGAATTTAACATTTGGTTTTCGGTTATTGATAATTTCATATGGAGTGATATTGAAACGTCGATGAATAAAAGAACATTTCTGAGTAAAACATGCTGTTGACACTGCTGCGGCCCAAAAATATTGAGGAAGATTCACATATGTCAACATTGTATTGGATGCTTCACAAAGTGACCTATTCCTGCGCTCAACTACACCATTTTGTTGTGGTGTATATGGTGACAAAAAATTATGCGAAATTCGTTTCTCAATTAAGTACGAATCCAACATATTATTTTTGAACTCAAAGCCATTATCACTTTTGATTTTTCTAACATTCTTTTTCAAACTCCTCTCATTTTTCTTGATAAAATCAATAATTGTTTGAGAGACTTCATATTTTAACCTGAGAAAATACACCCAAGTAAATTGAGAAAAATCTTCAACGATAACCAAAATGTACCGTTTCTTGTTAAGAGTTTCAACAGTTGATGGTCCACAAAGGTCAATATGACACTAATAGAAAAACAGCCTTAGACACTCATTGCACGTCGTAAAATGCTCAGACGACGCGCAAATGCGTGTCAAGGAAGGCCCTGTCATAAAGAGAGACGATGCGCATTTACGATGCACATTTACGACGTGCGGTTATGATACGCAATGCGTATCAAGGAAGGCCCTGTCATAAAGGAGGACGACACGCATCTGCGTGTCGTAACCCTACGACGCGCGTGTTTATGACACGCAATGCGTATCAAGGAAGCCCCTGTCAAGAAAGGCCATGTCATAAATGAAGATGACGCCCATTTTTGCGTATCGTAATTTTAATTTTTTTTTTAAAATTATTTATAGATTTACTGATTTTCAAATTAAATTTGCATTTCATGTCTCATAATAGAAAATAAAATACCATATACAAAAAATACAATACATTGCACAAAATTTAATGTCATACAAATAATCATTCCAATAGTAGACAAATGTTACATTTCAACAATTTTTATATAATTAACTAAATTATTAGCCAAATTTCCTAAAATACCAACATACTTTTCTATGAAGAGCATTAACACTATTCTTTTCCATCAAAAACTTCAAAACCTGCATAATAAAATTAATGTGTAATCAGCTACAGGTCAATAAGGTAGGTTTAAGCAAAAAAGTTTCATAATAGTAAGATTTTACTTACCACTGTTGTTAATGACACTGAAAGAAGCATCCAAGATTTTACTTACCACTGTTGTTAATGACGTTGAAAGAACCAGCCCAACAAACACCCCCCCCGGAAGGATTACTACCACATAACTGTTGATATTTGATACTTTATTACTAAATGAAACCAAAAACAAAGTTAAAAAGTCAACAAAATCAGAAGGTTTTATCCAAACATACAAAGGCTGTAATTCCAAATATTAATAAATGACATTGATTGAACCACCTACAGATTTACCATTTTGTCCCTATGAGATTCACTATTGAACACATTCTACAGTTTTAAGCTATATATATATATATATATATATATATATATATATATATATATATATATATATATATATATATATATATATATATATATATACCTGAGCGCTTTCTTCGGTGCTTCATAAATTAAAACACAGTCATCAAGAAGTTGTGACCATGACACAACATAGTAATACTACATAATCATAAGAAAAGAGAACAACTTACCTTGTCATCATCAAAATCGTACAAATCAGCAGCTGCATATGTAATCCATTAGAAGTTAGAATACAATAAATAAAGTAAAAATGATGATGCATAAAAATTAAATGTACATACTGTCGTCCATTTTGAACTTGATTGCATCTTATGTGAATTTTTTCATCTTGGCATCAAGTTCTGTAGTTGCCTCTTCTCTCTTAGCAATGATTCTATCGTTATCTTCATCTATGATTGTACAATCCTTTGAACTGAATACCATTTCTAGAATGTCCAACATCCTTGTCATCTATTATAGTACACCACAAATTCTTTTAATATAATAAGAAATAGACTTGATTAAACCAATACTTTCATGTTGCATAACAAATATAAATATAAATGTTAGAAGTATGAACCTGTGAGAACATCAACACCCTTGAAGTCAAAAGTAATAAGTTGAAATGGTAAATACCTGTGAAACAACCTGTTTACACAACTGATGCACAATCTCATCATTCATTATAGTGTATGTATGTATGTATAAGCAGCAAACAATGTGGCTTTACCTTCAATTTCTCACGTCTGATGATTCTTTCACAGATGAGACATAATCTCTCCAATTCAACCTGCGAGACGATTTTTTTAAATCATGATTTTGGATTCAAATAATGTATTTTATAAACAATAGTGTAACTTAGCCTGACTTTCTTGAGGGAACTGCAACCTGTTACCAAGTAAAATATTTAAATACAACAACAACACATGAAAGTGAAAGTGAAAGCGTACGCTATGGCTTATCCATTTGATGTTGTTGTCCCTTATACAAGTTCATCTAATGCCACAACTGATCTACATGTTTCTGATGACTGCACAACATATCCAATTTTATATCACTCACAAACCCAACACACACAGAGAGACCAGCATAGATGTGGTTTCCAGCAGCTCGGTTAGAAATGTATTGTGGCCTGCCATAATATGGTCTTTTTCACCTATCCTCAAAAACATGCGATCAACCAGAAACATGTTAAAAGCTTTGCGCAGGCACATCTGCCCCCACCTGGAACATCCGTCCATAACTAACCAGGGTTAACTACTAAGAGAGAGAGAGAGAGAGAGAGAGAGAGAGAGAGAAAACACATATTACATATATCTCTACCTGTGCCAAAATTAGTGCTACACAAACTTGACGCAAAAGAGAGCAAATACATAAAGAAAGCGATTATGTTGAAACAAAACTGATATAAGTTTATAATATTTTATTCTAGAGATTAACACAAAAGGTAGAATCATACCAAGACATTCTTCCCACATTGAAGAACTGGAGCGGGAACATACAGGTTACACTGGGGGCTGAAAGATTGAAAAACACCCAAAAAAACGAAAAAAATAAATAATTAAATAAATAAATAAAATTGTTAGGCTAGTATAAAAACCCGGTTCTTTTAAATCCACTCATGCAAAACAACAACATAGAGTCTTGTTATTGGGCTAGTGTTTAACTTTGGGCTTAGGTTGTGTTACAAGTTGCACATACGCAAGCTGCTTTTTAGGGTTTTGCGAGTTGAAGCTTTAATGAAATTGGAATATGGCTTGTCAAAAATGGGATTTATTTTTTTGGGTTCGTTTAGATTGCTGAGAGGAATTGGGAGCATTTTCCACTTGAGTAGAGGTTTCCCATCTAAGTAAATAGGGGATAGTATGCCCTAGAAAAGACAATGGCATACATTAGTTTAAGAAACCAGAGGGTATAAATGTCTTAAATTGGTCTATGTTGTTTTTTGTTGCCTTTTACCTTGCTATCAAACAAGATTTGTCCATAATTCAAACGACCCATGTTTTCAACCTAGAACATTAACAAACAAAAGGTGTTAACATATTATTGAAAAAAAATAATTAGTAGTATGTAAAGTGAACTGAATTACCAGAAATCCAGAATTAACAATTTAGTAGTGGAAGCACACTCAGTGTTGGGAATATTAACATGCTTATTTGACCATCGACTGATTGTTACAACATATTGTGGTCTTTCTTTCTTGTTTTTAGAAAGACATGTAACATACACTTAGGCTCTATCATGCACCTGAAATTAAGAATGAGAAACACAACACTATATAAATATCAATGATTGAAAACCACACGGTGGCATTTTTGTAAATTACTAAAACTTCAATGGCATTAAGTAATGTGCATTTCATGTTATGTGATGTGCACTTTATCTTTACCTTTGGTATGGACAAAGTGTTCCGCTTTCCGTTTGCTACATATTCAGAGGTGTATAATAAGAATCCAAACATCTGAAAATGAGACATTGATGTTGAATGTTTTAAAATGAGAAAATTATTCTTTAAAATGATCATAAATACTTGGCCTAAATCCTCCATTGAAATTGGATTATCAGATTCAATAGCTTTAATGTGCACATTAGTGTCCAGTATATCAAATAAGGATGATGATTTTTCTAACTAAATTCGACCATATCCTGTCTTCTCATTATTCTTAGGAACTGGAGGGAGAGAAGATGCACTGTACTTAGATATAACTCTCCGCAATGCTGAAAAAAATAAAGAATCATTATTATTATTATTATTATTATTATTATTATTATTATTATTATTATTATTATTATTTATATTATTATTATTATTATCATTATTATTATTGTCATTGATCTAATCTATTACCTTTAAATTTTGCACTATCCACATCACCAGACTCGATAATAGGAGCATCCTAAAAAAACGGTTTCCATTTGGAATTGATCCATAATTATGTTCAACAGGAAGAGTCTTGGACCATGAGTGTTAATCAATGCTGAAGGTGATGCTTACAGAAAGAAATGGTATATCTTTAGTAAGATTTCCAGTCAATTTTCCAAAAGAAAAGTATATTTCTATTTCTTGCCATACCTGTTTCAAAGCTCCAACATCATTGGTGCCATCACCACACATCAAAGTTACTCTCCTGGATGATTTAAAAGTTGTCATTATCAACTCTTTTTGCTCTGGAGCCACCCTAGCAAATACCTGATAATTGAAGTTGATTTTTTAGATAAAAATTCTAATATGAAATTGAAAAAGCAAATTAATAAAACTAAGAGTATGTTTCTTTTTATTTTCTCCATTAAGTCCTGTAGACAAAAGATTTCCATACAAAATGCTTGTTTCTTTTCTAGACTGAATAAAATCATCTGAGTGAGAGTACATGACCATTTTATCCTTGCATTCTAACAAACAATTTTCACTCAGTGATACTTACCAAGTCATGTGATGATTTTTTTCAATTCAGCCAAGACAGTAGCAGAATCTGTTTTGATATGGCAGTTAAACAGCTGAAGTTTATTTATATAACAAAAATGTTTACTTCAAACCATATATATATATATATATATATATATATATATATATATATATATATATATATATATATATAAAAGATATCAATAAAAAAATTCCCTGCCAAGCAAACATGTGACTTTCAATTTTTTTCCTTACATGTATGTTGAATTTTTCATAAACATGATTGATTCATAGAAATAGAAGAGTTAATTAGAAGAAAAAGAATGTGAAGTTATTAGACAAGATGTGAAGGTTGGCGTGAATAATATAAATAGAATTACAACAGGGTATTGAAGATAGAGCTTTGGTTTTTCTGAAGGAATCATTGTTTGATAAGTATGTTGATGAGCATGGAGTTGTCGATTTTGCTAGGAGTTGTGGGATGAGCTATCCAAAAGAAGCAAAATGATTATTAAGTGCACTCAACAAGCAATCAGAGAAACAACACAAAGACTGTTTCTCTGAAAAGGTATATACTACTATAGCATACCTTTTTCTTTCTAGGATAAAGTCTTGTGCTGTCTTGATATAATATAAATAATAATAATAATATTGTATTATTTATTTATTTATTTTACAGGAAATATTCAATTTGGCTAAACATATCGGGATAAGTGAGGAAAATTTTGACAGGCTTGTGGAGATTATAAACACTACTGGGTTTGTAACTAAAAAGTGGCCAAAAACATATCAGGTAAATTATTATTATAAGATGAATGGATAACATAACAACACTGTTTAATTTGTAACACCATAATATTAGCACCTATCCGATATTTTATATTTCTTTCATACAAGTGTATTCCTTCCTTACCAATTTAGTCCCATGAAGTTGTGAATCCCATTAATGGCATACTGCAAAGCTGCAACTGGTAGCCAATAATTCGCAACAGGGACATTTGAGGAGAGTTGCACAATTTGAAATGAATGCAGCTGCCAATGCCTTTTCAGTTTTTGGTTGAACAGGAGCCATTATATCATATTCTGCCTAAGAAAAGTACCCAACAGGGACATCTGAGAAGAGATTCGTGGTCATAATTATGTCACATCCTGCTCTGAAACATGATGATACACTGTTACAATTTCAATTTATGCAAATTATAAGCAAGAAATGAATCATGCATCTTTTTAATCCGAGTTTTTGATGGCTTATCTCAGAGTGTGCTTACCTACCCTCTTGCCTTATAGATCTCATTCCTAGGGAAGTAGTGAGCTGACTCTATTGATAGAAGAACAGAAGCAGTCCCTTCTTCTTTATGTAACCCAAATGAAGCAACAACCTTCTTCTTCTTCCAAAGGATAAACTTGCATCCAACAAAACAAGACTTCCAATCCTTCATGAAAGCACCTTTTAAATTATCATTCATGTCATGTCATCACAGTAAGATCATATACTTGAATCGTACGAAAAGGAACAACAATGGAAACATGAAATCGAAGAACTATGATACATGTAAATAATGCTAATCACAGTAGAAATACAAACCTCTTCATGACCAGAGATAAGTATTGGTTCTTTACGAAAATCTCTAGAATAAACTATAGAGTCTTCTCTCTCCAACTACTCCTCGCAGCTTTCCCCCCAACAGATGCGAAACATCCATCACGACGGTAGACAAATCTGCTAAGGCGGCATCATCAATGGGATCAATGGAGAGTGATGAAAAAGAGTAGTTCGTGAACTGTAGGAACGATTCATCCCAAGAGTTGACAAGGTTATGGTTCTTAATAAATGAGAGAAGTGGAAGCTTGGAAGAAAATAAAACCCTAGCACGTGCTAGAGAGAAGGGTGGTGGCGACGGCTTAGGGTTTACAGAGAGACGGGAGTTAGAGAATGAAGGGAGATCTAGAGGAGAGAGTATCAGAGAGGGGAGAATGGATTGAAAGGATGTAAGATAGATATAAGATAGAAAAAATGAGGCGGGTTTTCAAAATTTTGGAGATTTCGTTTCCCCCTGCGCGTTTCATTAAAATTATAAAGCGACAGGTACAGACGACGCATGTTTAAGATAAAGCACCCTCCGTGTTTTTAATTTTTTTTTCAGACACTAAATTAAGGGTACGCAGTAATGCGTGACGTAAATCCTTAATTTTTTTTGGAGAGATTACACTTTTTTAAGGGCACGTCCTTTTGCGTATCATTAATCAGTGCGTGTTGTAAAAAGCGCGTCATTAAAGGTCTGTTTTCTAGTAGTGAAAAGACTTGTTTTCACTATGGAACACCTGGTTACATTGCCCGAAACTGTCCAAATCGCGCATATGTTCCATACTACGCACAAGGATGGCAAAACACACCAAGAGGGAGATACTCCAAAAGAAACCCCTCAAGGTCACGTTCAGACAATGGTGACTGGAACACGCAGAAGGCCAAGAATCAAACTTCCAAGGCCAAGAATCAAAATCCCAAGGGAAAGAAGGGCCAAGAAGCCCATTCCAAGAAATAAACCAGTGAAACAAAGTCCAATTAGGTCAAAGTCATTTCAACATCCGACATTAAGATCAAAAGCAAGTACTGAGCCACCCATCAGATCGAAAAAGAAATGGGTTAAACCTAACTACAAATGGGGTCCAAAGGATCACTCTCCAAAATCTCCTAATGTTTCTAATATTTCTACATCTTTTTTTGTGATAAGCATGATATGTCGTGGGAGAGAGTACCATGCAAGGATGACAAAGGTCAACCCAGTTTCAAAATGGATTGGGTTCAAAAGACCAACTGATCCCGCTCTGTGTCGGAGCAGCTATGGAGGCATATCATCAGACTTCAGTTTGTTGCTAGTGGCTGTTCTAGGCACATGATAGGGGACATCTCTCAACTGTACAACATTCAGACCTTTGTTTGAGAGTATGTGTCCTTTTGCGAGAAAGGAGGAAAGGAAGAGATCACAAATGGGGTTAGTGCTTAATGACATGAAGAATTTTTGGATCTATTCTGAGATTATGCCTGCTGTTCTTAGACCTTTTGGATGCAAATTGAATCAGTAACTTACAGTTTGAGTTTTCTTCTCTATACTCCTGAGTTTATCTTAAACTGTTTCATATTGAAGACAATTTTTATTTTCTTATAGTTTTTCGTTAGTAGGTATTGTTTGGGAAGGGATATGAAGTCTAATGTTAAAGGGCAATTTATAATTCGTGTAATGCACTAAAACCGAATTGTCTAGACTATGTGTTCAATGTGCTGGTAGGCACAAAGGATTCAAAAATGACGAGACATTGATTGACCATGAAAGGACTATACAATATAGATTTAGATAGTTTCATTTGGACTGACCATACGACACTTGGGTAGATTGAGTAGTGATATAAACATGGGAACCCACAAGATACACTAAATTAATACACATCTAGATCTGTGGCTTAACTCTTCCTTGATGTACGGACTTATGTCCTTAATTCTGGTTATGATAGAACAACTAGGGGGTTCTGATAAAGTAGGTATGTAGGAAATTATTTTCTTGCTTTCTATCTGTCAGTCATATGTTGCTTCCTCTGCGTGATTGGAAGAGATCCGACCTGGATTGCAACATATGCAACTCTAATTCTACGCACCTCCTTGTCTCTGAAATTCTTTCTATATGTTAACCATATGTTGTCCCCTCTGCGTGATCGGAATATCCAACCTATGACACAACATATGCAACATTCTATCTCTTTAACCCTTGTATATGTTAGTCATATGTTGTTCCCTTTGTGTGATTGGAAGACATCCGACCTGGGATACAACATATGCATTGCTATATCTGAATTCTTTCTTAATGATTGAATACTCACCTAAAGTAAGGAGTTCTTTGGAAGTTCTTGATTACCGGGGTATGTCGGGAAGTGGGAAACACGTTCTAGTTCATCTAAAATTGAACCATTTAATAGGTTGTCTGTAGATCTCGCTGCTTAATTTAAGTGGACAACAATATCCTTGGTCGTCGTCAGCTAAACGACCATTTAAGAATATAGATACCACTGTCTTGTCAGTTATAACCTATCCAATTTTTCAACATCCTTTGTGTTTAATTGTATCACAATACGAGTGATTGACCAGATCTAAACATGTAGGTGTGTACAAATACACGATATTGGATTGCCTAACAACTTTGATCGCAAAATAGTCTTAAATTTAGCTTATGTTTTGGTTTTTGTTAAATTTGTTCATAGTTTCTTTTATGCACAAATTTAGGGGGAGAATTACAAAAAAATTCAACTACACCATTTTGTTGTGGTGTATATGGTGACGAAAAATTATGCGAAATTCCTTTCTCAATTAAGTACGAATCCAACATATTATTTTTGAACTCAAAGCCATTATCACTTTTGATTTTTCTAACATTCTTTTTCAAAATCCTCTCATTTTTCTTGATAAAATCAATAATTGTTTGAGAGACTTCAGATTTTAACCTGAGAAAATACACCCAAGTAAATTGAGAAAAATCTTCAACGATAACCAAAATGTACCGTTTCTTGTTAAGAGTTTCAACAGTTGATGGTCCACAAAGGTCAATATGAAGAAGTTCCAACGGTTGCATAATTTTTGAACCTATGACAATTGGATGTCCTTTCCTATGTTGTTTCCCTTGTTCACAAGCTACACATAAGGTATCATTATCAATGTTTAAAACCTGTAAGCCTCGAACAAGATCATCAATTACCAACTTATTTAAATTTTGAAAATTTAAATATGATAAACGATGATGCCATAACCAACTAACATCAGATGTAGCTTTCGAAAGTAAACAAATTAATGGTTTCCCAACAATCACATTGATATCAAGAGTAAACATGTCGCCATATCGTTTGGATTTCAGCAACACTTCGTTCGTTTCAATCTTTGAGATAATACTTCCTGCTTTGTTAAACACAACTTGATGGCCAGTGCCCACAACAAGTTTTGAAACACTTATCAAATTATGTTTAAGACCTTCGACATAAGCAACACGATTTACATTAAATTCTCCATTTGTTACTTTGCCGTATCCTTTGACTTGACATTTGTGATTGTTTCCGAACATCAGAACTCCAACATTTTCCAATCTTTGAAAATCTTTTAAATTTTCCTTTCGACCAGTCATGTGACGTGAGCAACCACTATCGATATACCATTTCTCATCATATTTCTCGGCATAGAGTACCTGCGATCAATGAATGAATTTAGGTACCCAAGGCTGTTTGGGTCCTTGGAAATTAGTTTTAAAAACAGAATGAAATGCAGAACTTTTAACCCAATCACAAACTTTAGTTTTGAGACTATCAATTAAGTCCATATCACTAGGATAAGGAATCGAAACATAAGTTTTTGTTAGTTTGGGATTGTCATTGAGATATGCCTTCGTTTTCTTAAGTTGTGTTTCAACATTCTTTTCTTTCAAAACCGGTTTCCAAGTCTTTACTAAAACATTTGAATCTTTTGAAGATGAACTTTCAGTTGACAAAGTATTCACACATTTCTGATAAGCTTCTTGGATTTGTTGTTGAGAGTATTTCCTTGATTGATACATTCGTCCTTTTCCTTCAAGCCAGTGATCAATGTTTTTCTCTCGAGACAACCCTTTTTTGTAAGAAACTTTTAAGGTTTGTTTCACTAAAGGATTTGGAAAATTCAGTTTTTGTGGAATGAAATCAACATTGAAATTTGGACAAAATGTTTGAGCATATTTACCATGAACCTTGTTTCATAATTTGTATTAGGAGAAAATCCATTTCGAAAATGTTTTAATTGATGTGGAAATGATTTTGGTTTTAGGTTCTGATTTTGAGAAAATCTTTGTTGTGGATTATACGAAAAACAGTTTCCAACTTTTTTACTGGGAAATTTCCTTGTAGAATAATTAGCACTTGAAGAAAATGATGTTTTCTGAACTTTTAAAAACTTGTTTTGTTGATTGAACTCAGACGTTGATTTATTTCTTTGAGTGAGATTTTTCTTTTTATCTGAATAAGATGATGAATATGCAGACTTGTTCTCAATAATTGAGTCGTTAT